CTTAGTAAAAGTAATTAAATGTGGTGATGAATTGTGGGGGTTACGTAGCTAACATTACTAATCATATTTGTTTATACTATTTTACTATAAATAGGAAAGAATGTATACTTGAAAAGACCACTATTTTTCATCCCATTTTGAAAGGTTATAAGGTTTTCATAACCAAAGTATATATGTACTTTTTGTTTTCCTAATCATCTTCTCCTTTATATAAATGATTCTTGTCTTTCAATCCATTTTACAATAAATAAATATATTTTATCTCTTTGTTGAGCAAGTTGGATCGTGATCAAGTTCGCAATATAGAGAGCCCTGTCATCATTGGAACTCCTATGAGGATTGTTGTATCTTAAGAAAAAATCGTCGTCAAACTCTGTATGGAGGGGGCGTATCTCTTCTTATGATAGCGCCTTTGGCGTGCCTCAATCTAAATCCTATTTCTCAAACTTTTTCTATTTTCTATCTTAGAGATTATGATTTTGTGCTTATATCTTATTTTTATGATTCAAATATATATTTTTCTAATAATATAAAAAATATATATGATTATAAAATTATTGACTCAAACCATTTGTTTCTTTGCATATATTGTTGCGATTGTGGGAGATCACCATTGGTTTTTCTACAACATAGAAAATGCATAGTAGATTGAAGTGAGTGGTCAATCTACATAAAGAAAAAGTGACAAAACTGAAATTTCATTTAAGGAGTGGTGGTATGTATAAAATCTTATCATATACATGATGTTTACTTGTTGGTGTAGCAAGATGCTAAGTATATGGTTTGCTAGATGCTAATTCTGTTTTTTTGTGCATTAATAGATCCAAATAATGTTTAAAACATGATGAACTTTCTAGCATAACATGTTCATGATTTGATGTGATATATTAACTCCAAATTGGTAACTAAAATTGTTTTATGTTCTTGACATTTTAATTGGCAAGAGTATAAAAAATGAGTAGTCTGCATATGACTACTCATTTTTGGAAATGATTTATGTTGTAATTTGCATATGACTTGTTCTTGTAATCTAATCATAAAGTGTGCGCTTCAAGAAAAAGAAATTTATTATTATTATTATTATTATTATTATTATTATTATTATTAAGAAAAGGAAGTAAAGTTTAGAGTAATACAAAACTGAATATAATTTCTCATACTTTATCCATTGCCAACATCAATTTTAAGGAAGAATGATGGCCAAGAATACATGAAGTTACAATTGGCAACAGTTATGTTTGTACATTTATGTTATTAATTTAGTCAAGTTAATATTCATAAATTCTGTTGGTTGTTGTTTATATCATTATATGTGCCTGTAATTTATTCAAGAAAGTAAATGTCATTTAAGAAAGGTAATATTGATAATGGAATCAGTGGAATGTTAAAAATGTTTTAAATTACATATATGATTTCCTTTTCCTAGTTATATCACAAAATTTTCTAATGATAATGTGGTTGTTGATAAAATAAAATATTGGGAGTAAATAATCACTGTATGGGCGGTTAACAGGTTCTTTCTAATTTCAAGTTTATTAATATGAGTTACATATAACATTCTTCTGCCTATTTGAAGAACAAGAGTGTTATATAAATAAATACAAAAGAAATAGAACAATAGTGTTCTATCTATTTAATTCAGCAATTATTTGAAGATATACTATTGTGTATATCTGGTTGCCAGTCTGTAATTATATTTAGCATGAAATGGTGGTAAATTAGTTTTTGAAAAATATAACACCCACCTTCGGATGTCGATTTTTGCACCAAAAATATTTTTGTGTGGTAAAATTGCATAACCCCATTTGATGTATTTGGAAGACTATCAGACGAATGGTTCCTACTAGATAATGAATAATGAGGCTAGTGACCATTCATAAACAGAAATGGTTCCTAGTAATAAAAAGGTTACTGACCATGAATGAAGTGCAAAATTACAATTGAATTAGTAGTTCCTAGTAGTAGACAATCGATCACCGTGTTATAATTCCTAGTAGTGGGACTATTGGCTACTTAGTAGTTCCTAATAGTAGACTACTGGTCATTTTCATGGTAATTTTTAATAGTAAGACTACTGACTACTAAACTGTGGTGGTTGTCAAATAATAAAATGAAACTATAACGCAGTTAGCAATGTCTATATATCCAAATGTGACCCAAAAAGTCTGATAAAATTTGGATAACATATTCGGGTGGAATCAAAGTAGTTAAAGTGGTGCATTTACAAGTGAAGGGAATATATAATAGTATAAAATAGATGGTCTAATATTAGTCTCATATTTAATATATTTGAAGAAATCATTTTTCTTCAACATCGGGAAGGATTATAATCGAGCAAAGCTCAACATAGTCGGAATGAATTTCGGATAACAGTTGGAAAAATGAGATATATCTCTGTACCAGAAGCATGCTATAAATATTTGCTAAGTTAAGACAAGTCTTGGTTGTGGGGTATAAAATAACTTTGCCAAAATCTTTACAAAAGATTGGCTTACTAATTAATCATCGAGTGGAATGATATTTAAAGCCTATGAACAAGTCATCATAGTAGACACCTAACCTCTGTGATTGGAGATCCCATGAAGGAGGTTCAATAGGTACAAACGAAACTATATGGATGGCTATTATCAATACACATATATAAAAGGAAATATCCCTTTCTCATTCTTAAGATGAGTGTTGATATTTGTGATGGAAAAAGGAAGAGTTCCTCTCTAAATGAGTCCAAGACAGAAATCTGCGATGTGGTGATCACAAACACCCTTGGAGGGTTCACCTATATGATTGTTAGTAGTGAGGCCACTACTCTAGGATTTGGGCTAATCCCTAGATAGCAATTCATGAATATAAAATACAGCACATGGCCGTTAAGAGCGTAAAACCGTTAGAACTGGTTTAGTATCCATATCATGTGTGTTATTAGTACAAGTCTGGCTCAAAGAGTCTTGTTGAAAACCTTGTGTTACTATGATTCTTCAGATGGACACCTATCACCTGGCTAAGTGAAGGTTCAAGTCCAGAAGACACCTATCACCTATTGCATGATATTTTTGCCCAACATTTTTTAAACTTATTTTAAAAACTTTTTGTTTCTTTTATTTTTTAATATTGAATTATATGGGGGATTGTTAGAAAATTAATTCAATATTAAAAATATATATGTAAGTTTTTGTAACTTACGGGTTTAAAAAGAAGTTATTGAAACTTTACTTCTTTGAAAATTTGGGTAACTATTCACTTTTATTGTGTTTTTACTGGTTAATAGTCAATATTTAAAATCTTAGTAAAAGCAATTAAATATGGTGATAAATTGTAGAGTTATGTTGCTAACATTACTAATCATATTTGTTTGTACTATTTTACTATAAATAGAAAAGAATGTATACTTGAAAAGACGACCATTTTCTACCCCATTTTGAAAGGTTAAGCACATATGGTTTTCATGACCAAAGTATATATATACTTTTTGTTCTCCTAATCACCTTCTATTTTATATAAATGATTCTTGTCTTTCAATCCATTTTACAATAAACAAATATATTTCATCTCCTTGTTGGGCAAGTTGGATCGTGATCAAGTTCGCAATATAGAGAGGCCTGCCATCATCGGGACTCCTATGAGAATTGTTGTATATTAAAAAAAGAACGCCGTTAAACTCTGTGTGGAGGGAACATATCTCTTCTTAATACAACGCCTTTGACATGCCTCAATCTAAATCCTATTTCTCAAACCCTTTCTGTTTTCTTAAAGATTATTATTTTGTGTTCATATCTTATTTTTATATTTAAATATATATTTTCTAACATTTACCTCTAAATACGACTTTTGCTCAAACAATGCTACTACTTCTGGAGGCAAATGGAAAACAATGCATCAAATCACGATTTGGATGGCTCTACTTCTCCCTAAGCAATTAAATCTAGTTGTATATATTTTATGGCCAATTGCTTCGGCTCTATTGTCATAATGGTATTGGGGGGTGGCAAAGAGGTGAAAATTTATAATCTTGAAGACATAATTTATTTAGTGACATCAAGCACGTTAGTTTTGTATGTCCGCCGGTGTGGATTAGTGGATATCATTCCAATGCACCGGGAGGTGTTTTAGAAATTATCAGGATTAAAAAACAAAAATTTTCCAGATTAATTTCCTTACCCCGGCGTTTCAGACGGATATTTGTTTTGAGGGCCTGCATCATCCTCATGGTTGTAGTTTGTAATGAAAAGTCTGGAGCACTTTGATTAGTAGCAATGTAGTGAGATCAATTTATGAAGAACCAAAATTTAAATTATTCGTTAGAAAATTAATGTGTAGAAGATATGGAGTTTCACTTTTTTTCTTTTTCCCCCTTTGGCTTGATGATCTCCTATAGAGTAAAAGATATGGTGATGTCATTGATTGCATTTCCGTTCACAATCAACCTGATTTTGACCATCCTGCGTTACGGAATCATTCAGGTATATCTCTGCCCGGGTATGTGCATCGTTGAACTTTGATGGAAATCTGGAATCCAGCTTTCGTTTTAACAACGTAAGATAAATTATAATGATTTGTCAAGATTTATTATTATTATTCTCTCGGTTCTAAAAAAATAGTACACATTAAATTTGTATTATTTTTAGTAAAAAAAGATAAAATTCAATATGAACTATTTTTTGGTATAGAGGAAGTATTATTATTTCACATGGCCTTTTCATGAGAGTGATGACAATTATTAATCAACATTTCGCTTCCGGGTTGTCCACCATCCATATCAACCAAATCTGGTGTAGGATTACAAAGGGCATTTTTATAGTTATTTGGTGGGTCAGAATTCTCACTTGGTTTGTTTCTTTACCAGTCAAGAATAAATTAACATAAGGAGGTTTGACTCATTAATTAATTAATAATCTCTGCAGATTTCCATAATTCTATAGTCTACGCTCGGGAAAACTCATATACTAGTAGTATTAAATAGCTGCAAAACATTGAGCTTTTTTCAGGTTTCAATTATTTAGCTAGTAAATGAGATCGCTTTCTTTTGAAATCATGGTGGTCAAATTGATGGCCATCCTATTAGTTGAAACAGCTCTTCTCTTGGTCATAGGCCATGTTGTTTTGGCGAACAATTCCAACTCGAAGCATGAACGTCCTCAAAAAGTTACAACCACCATTAGAGATAATTTTCGACGTGCTAATGGAGTAATAAAGAGCATCCAGGTTCTCAATTCATATTTTCGACCTTTACTTCCTATTGAAATTTTTATTAGGAAAAAAAAATTACTGAAGCCAATTAGAAAAAGAGGGAGAAGATGGTGATATATTTGATTTCTTCCTTTTCTTTTTTTTTTTAATTAAAATATTTTTATCCTTTTTTTTTTTGGTGGTTTCTTGTAGAGTGAAGATGGTGATATAATTGATTGCATTGACATTTACAAGCAACCAGCTCTTAGTCATCCAGCACTTAAAAACCACAAGATTCAGGTTTGATTAAATTTTATGTAAGATTAGTTATCCAATTACGATTATTATTGGATATGAAATCAATTGGAATTAACAATGTGGTCGAAATTTAGTAAAATTAGCGATCTGTATATCTTGTTGATAATGCATACGGTCATATATATATACCTCTTTTGAAATATTTTCGATCCAGATGGAACCCAGCTACGTTCCAACCACAGACCAAACTACAAGAAAGATAAACAGAGCAAAAGGGAAGAAGAACAAACCATCCAAATCAGAGGTTCCACTTTCTGTGATAAAACAGATATGGCACAAAAATGGAAGCTGCCCTGAAGGTACTGTTCCAATACGAAGGAATCTGAAAACAAATAATAAAGCAGTACCAATCGTTTCAAGGAGATATCAACGTTCTTTCAGTCAGCTCAGCCAAAACAACACATCGAATTTGCTCCGCCCTAACCATGCGGTACGTCGGCTATCCAATTTGAGTTGTCGTCTCGGGTCATTTTTTTTTTAATACAGAGAGAGTATTCGATTCAGCCGTTTCGTATAATTTCATGTATGATTAAATTTGCAAATTTGATGAAATGTAGGAAAATGCATTGCATCCATCTCTCTTCCAATTGTAAAATCATGCCTTTTTAACCTCCTTTTCTTAAAAAAAATAAAATAAATCATATCTACGATAGCTCAATAATTAACTTATTCGCTGCTAAAAGTTTAGACATTTATTTTAATTGATTGACTTAATTAAGTGTGACCAATTTCCCTGAAATAACAAAACAGTTGTCGGTGTTGAGGACCGATGGGCATGCATATTTAGGAGCACAAGGAAGCATTGCTGTCTATAATCCTGAAGTTGAGAATCCGGACGAGTATTCTCTCTCAGACATTTCTCTTGAGAATGGGGGCCCTGAAAAGTTCGAAACAGTTAGATCGGGATGGATGGTATGTTTATATAGTACTCTATAAGCTAAATATTATCTCTATTTTGTGAAATTGATGTTGTTTCACATTGTGCTAAAATTACTGTTTTAAACCCAAAATTATAAATAAATTGCAGGTAAATCCAGCTGTCTATGGAGATAAAAAGTCAAGATTTTTTACATATTGGACGGTGAGTAATTCCTTCTTGCTATCATTATTACTATTCCTGTTTCCAAAATGATTGACGATTTTCATGATTTTTACTATTGTTATTACAAATATGTGTTAACAATAAAAATTCGAATTGGACAATCATTTAAATACGGAACAAATAATAGATATTTCGTAGATCATGATGTGGCAAAGGGGTAGATAAGTTAAAAAAAAAGAGATGAGATTACAGGTCAATTTGAGGTTATTGCGATTTCAAATATATATTTTTGTGGTTTAATTTTCAGAGTGACGGTGGACATGAAACGGGCTGCTTCGATCACATTTGTCCAGGTTTTATACAACTCAGTAAAAATATCGCACTCGGAGTTGTTATCGATCACATTTCGACAACTCCTAATAAGCCAGCCGAACTTATGTCAATATCCATCTATAAGGTAACTTTTTACATTCTTGTCACCATATGAAAACTGTTTTCATAAAAATGGATAATACTTACTTCTTTTTCCTCTTAAAAGCATGACTTTGAATAATAAAAACATTGATGTCTAACTTCATACATACCACACATTAGTTCTTTGCGATTTTCCGTCTCGCACTATTTCAAAATTCATTGTCTGAATCATTACTTGTATAACCCCAACACTAAATTTTTTTTGCTCGTTCTCTTTTTTTTTTTTTTTTTTTTTCCAGGATCTGGACACAAACAACTGGTGGGTAGATTCAGGAGAGGAGAAAATAGGCTACTGGCCAGGGGATCTTTTCGACGAATTAATTAAAAATGCTGAAGCAATTCAATGGGGTGGCGACGTTTATAGCACAAGGCTGGAAACTCATCCGCATACGGCCACCGCAATGGGGAGTGGAGCATACTCTTCTCCGGTCGACTGGTTATCGGGTTCGATCAGAGGGATTCGGATTCTACAGAATTCTATGGTTTGGAAATATCCAGATTGGGCTTCTCCCTATGCGGATCAAGTTAATTGTTACGATAATAATCTTCAAGTCGTGGCAGATGACCCGGTTTTCTATTATGGAGGACCCGGAAGCGGCGGTCAAGCATCCAAGTGTCCTTGACTGAGCTTAGATTAATTTTACGGTTTGATTGGAAAATGAAATGCCCGAATTCGAGCGTATATGAATATATCGAATGACACATCTTAAATTCTTCTTTTTTTCATCGAGTAAAAAAAAAAAAGAATATTTTAGTTTTTTGATGACTATAATATACTCCCTCCGTTCCTTATTATAAGCCATTTAATTTTCGTCCCAGGTTTCACCTAGAATATTTTTTTAATTGGAATAAAAACCTTAAAAATATTTCATAATAATTAAGAAAACACAAAGAATGTGAAAATATATTTTTAATATTTTTTTTAATTAAAAAAACATTTTAGGTTAAACCTAATACGAAATCAAAAGGTCTTATAATAAGTACTAGAGACAGTAACTAATTTATCATAAAGCATGCCATATCAATAAAATCGCCTCCCCTCTTTGTCAAACCCAAAAAAAGAAATCTCATCTTTCTTCCCCCTAGCTTCTTATCATTGGAAGATGTTAGATGCGGATATACTTAATTAATAACCATCTTAATTTATCGTTTTCTTTTTCCTTTTTTTTTGTGGTTTTTTGGACGATGGCGACTGATTCCGGATTTTAGTTTATCGATCGAATATGATTTTTCTTTTTCCAATAGATTTTGGTATACTAAGTTTAATTAGTGTTGGTGGTCCATACTCCATAGGTCATGTTTCATCAAGTTATTATTCGCGACTCATGTTAGAGAAGATGCGGTCAACGTAAATCTAAGATATCTATGAACGGGAGTTTGTTTTTTTTTTTTTTTTCTAAACCAAAAGAATAGAGATAATTAGGAATAGATCTGCATAGATATGTACTAGGTGTTAGACCCGTCCGATGGACGGGGAAGGCATACACATTTAGACATTTTTACATAAATTTTGTATTTTTATAAAATATGTAATAAATTCAGTTTTAAACATGATTACCTCTGGTTTTACAGGAATTTATTTTTTTTATATGACATTTTAAATTTACTGGTGATAAGGTTTATGCAGATCTCTCTAAAATTTGTTAGAATTTGGTACTCTCTCCAATCAATCTCTGAGTTACGATTTGGTTCGTGAAAATAAGGGTTCGGTTTTTATTATTTTATTTTTTAAAAGTTATTTTAGTTGATTTTTTTTTTTGTTTTATTATTTTGTTTTGTGCATTTTTAAGTCTAAGAAATTAAAAAAATGCCACATAGGATTAAATTTTATGTGGCATGTGCTCCATACCTTTAGTTTTCTCTCTCTGGTTTTTGCCTTAGTATAGTATATAGAATATAGATATATAGATTTGTATTGGTTGTATCCTATTTTGGTTTGTCAATGTCGGGGAAAATCGCCTATGATTCCTGGTCCATTAATTTTCAGCCTCACCTCAAACTCTACTCAATTAATCCGAACCTCCGAGTCCTAGGTGTCTTTTCTGCATTAACTTGGGAGAAATAGAATATAGCAGTAAAATTTTTGCATTAAATTTCTGATTTATTTTAATAGGAAAACCCAATCCTAAATACCCACTCGGTTGTGGCTGGTTACACAAACGAAATGTATATTAATTTGGTGTGTAAAGATCCTCTTTTTGTTTATTTATTTCCCAAAAGAATAACAAGTTTTATATGGAGGGTAATTTAACTTGTTAATTAGCACAAAGAAAAGGATACCTATTTAATGCTTTAAAAGAAGGACTACAGATTTCCATAATCTATAACCTCCAAGGCCTATCCACAAAGGAGAAAACTCGTATAAAAACAAATCCGACACAGCGGGCTTTTGTTTCCAGGTTTCAGTTACTAGTAAATCAGATTGCTTGCCTTCAAAATCATGGTGGTCAAATTAATGGCTATCCTATTACTGGAAACTGCTCTTTTCCTGATCACAGGCCATGTGGTTTTGGCGAACAATTCGAACTGGAATCATGAGCCCCTGGAAGATACAACCAATGCAGTCCTAAAAAGCATCCAGGTGCTAAATAACAATTTTTTTTCAAAAAATTTTACTTCTTCAGTTTACTCTACAAAACCATCGGAAAATTTCCATTTCATGCACTGTGAATTTGCCATGGAAATCGCAATTAATTTGACCTCTGTAACTTTTTTTTTTGTTAAATCATATCTTATTTTTCATTCATCCTATTACCTATGTCAAATGCCTTTCACGCATCAGTGAAATGATACAATTATTTTATTTATAAACATGCTATACTCATTTGGTCCGATGTTAATGAATGACCATGTTTCTAAAATTATATTCACTTTAAATTCGAAGAAAAATGAGTATTATTATAGTACGAAGGAAATTTTTAGGGAACAAATTTTTATTTTTATTTTTATTTTTATTTTTATTTTTATTTGTTGTACGTGTTTAATGTTATAGAGTGAAGATGGAGATATAATTGATTGCGTTGACATTTACAAGCAACCAGCTCTTAATCATCCAGCACTAAGAAACCATAAAATCCAGGTATGTTAGATTTTATTCTCAAGTAATCTAGCTACAGATTAAGAATATGGCATTCTTTAATATTCATAAATTGCTCAAACCTTGTCTTTATTTTTCAATCCAGATGCTGCCCAGCTATGTTCCAACCATGGAAAAAACCCCCAGAAAGATAAATAGAGCAAAAAGGAAGAAGAACAAACTATATTCCAAATCAGAATCTCAAGTTTCTGTCACAAAACAAATATGGCACAAAAATGGAAGTTGTCCTGAAGGCACTGTTCCCATACGAAGGAATATGCAAACGATGAATAAGGCGTTACCAATCTTATCAAGGAGATACAACAGCTCTTTCAATCGTAGCAAACATGAGTTCAGCCAAAATAACACATTGAATATGCTCCGCGCTAACCATGCGGTACGTCAGCTACCCAACTCGAATTGTCGTGTCGGATCATATTTTCTATAGATTACGTACAGTGCAGATTGAGTTTTAAAACAATATAAAACTCAAAACTCATCTGGACTATTTTTTGGGGCAGCATTTGATATAAATACATTTACAATGATACTAGTGTCAACTGTCAATCGTTTTGTATCATGGCGTGTCTGATTAAAACTTGTAAATTTAGTTATTGTGTCAAAATATGGACTCCACGAGTCAGCAGGAAATCATGCTTATCTTCAATCTCCTTTGATATTTTTCGAGTATTTATCCTATCTACAAAAAGTGTAAAAGTCAAAAAATGGTGATTGAAAAAAAAAAAGTCAGCTGTCAAGTATATTCTCATTAATTAATTGATTCACCACTCAATTTTAGACATTTCTCATCAATTTAACTCATTGACTTTAGTGTTCCAATTTACCTGAAAAAAAAAAAAAAAACAGATGTCAATATTGCTCACGGAGGGATATGCATATACAGGAGCACAAGGAGATATTGCTGTCTATAACCCAACCGTTGAAGGGTCCGATGAGTACACTCTCTCAGACGTTTCTCTTGAAAATGGCGGTCAAGGATTTTTTGAAGCAATTAGATCGGGATGGATGGTAAGATTATAATTCCTGATAAATAAAAAGTCATTGCCTTGAATTAAATTAATATTCTTTTTTAAAAAAATGCAGGTGAATCCAATGGTCTATGGAGATAAAAACACAAGATTTTTCACTTATTGGACTGTAAGTGATCTCTCCTTTAATAATTATTTCTAGAAGATAATTTAGGAGTTAGTAACGAGACTAATGGGTTGGGAAATGATAAGGGAATGGAAAAAATTGTAACGACGAGATTCTGGTTAATTCGATATTTCTTTCAATTCGATTGTGGAATTTGAAATATTATTGTCGTGGTTTACAGGCTGATGGTGCGAAAAGTACAGGCTGCTTCGACAGCCTTTGTCCTGGTTTTGTCCAAGTCAGTAAAGATATCGCACTTGGAGCAACAATCGATCACATTTCTTCACCTTCGAATAGACCATCTCAAGTTATGTCAATTTCCATTTATAAGGTAAGCTAGAAAACGAGTTTACACTTCTCAACTACAAAGTGTTCGCATGAACATAAAAGAAACATGGAACGACATAGTGCTCGATAAAGATATATAGTAACATTATCTAGTTGTGAAACATATGAGAATGCATAATAGCCAATTTTATTTTCTTAGAGTATGACGATGAATAAAGCCATTTGTATGTTAAGTTTTAAACACATACAACTCACTCATTCATGTGTTGTATGCTTTCAAATTTCACTATCTGTATTATTACTCTAACAAGATTAGGTGAACAAAGTCATCTTTCCGTAATCATTTTTCTCTCCTTCGAATTTCACTATTTGTTTCATTACTCTAGCAAGATCAGGTGAACGGAGTCATCCTTCCCGTGATCATCTTTTCCGTCTTTCGAATTTCACCATCTCTATCATTACTATAGCAATATCATGTGTATAGAGTCATATTTTCTTTCCGTTTTTATTTCAGGATCAGAATACGAACAACTGGTGGGTAGATCTAGGGGGAAAGAAAATAGGATATTGGCCATCGGAACTCTTTGAAGGGTTAAGCCATCACGCGGCATCGGTTCAATGGGGCGGCGATGTTTATAGCACCAGGCTGACTACTCCGCACACGGCAACCGCCATGGGAAGCGGCGAATACGCTTCTCCGATCGACTGGTTAGTGGGTTCCATCAGGGGGATGCGGATTCTGCAATATTCTTCGGGTTGGAAGTATCCAGAATGGACTAATACGTATGCGGATCAATATGACTGTTACAGTTTCTATCTTCAAATCGTTGCCGATGACCCGGTTTTCTATTACGGAGGACCCGGTAGCGGCGGTCCAGTGTCCAGATGTCATTAATTCAGCTTAGCTAGATCGCTGATTTTTTTTTTCATGGTTAGTTAGTAAATCTGAATAAAGTAAGAATGATTTTCATATTTGGCCTTTGGGAACAGTGTGTTGGTTCCGAAATTTCTCAAACGGCAAACAAACTCACAGTCGATGAATTCTAAATTGGCAAGCAATTTCTATTGAGAGGTAAAGCTAACTCCAAGTCAATCGATCGCACCTTCGTCGACGCTTGAGTTTATTGTCAGGTTTTGGCAAAATAACGTTTTGTAGAAATGGAGTCCTAGAACATAATTCAATATAACTATTATACTTTCTTAGCGTCGAATGATTGTTCAGTTTAAATTTTCAACTGTAGTACAAATTGTAATGAAAGTGAAAATCCAATTGAATAATGAATTTAAAATAGAGCGAGTATAACGTTTTTTGTCCTACTTTTTACTGATTAATAACGGTTTTCTACTTTTTTTTTTCTTTTTTGTATTCTCTCTTCTTAATAAACTAGATGTTAAACCGCACGATGTGCGGGGTTAATTCATATACATTTATTAAAAATTATTTTAAAACCCACCAAAACGATGTTATTTGAGGTAATTTTCCAAAAACCCACCAATACCATGCTCATTTTTATTTTATTTTAAATTTATACTAAAATATCCTCGTTCACCATGGTAAAAAAATTAATTAGGAATTAATAAAAATTACTTTAAGTTATGGAAAACAGAAAGTTGAGAAAGATAAACTTTGGATTAAAGTCATTTGGAAACATTTTAATGACTCAAATTAAAGAAAAGTTAAGTTCATTCCATTTTGAATTACCTCAATATATTACAAAATCTTTCAATCTAAGTGAGTCTCTTCATCTTCTAGCTTCCACTGAGCCCAAATTTTATTTATTATTTTTAAGAAAAAAATTTTTTCTGCTAAATAACCAAACTCCTGATTTCCTTCCCCATTCTCCGGCAAGAACGTGAGATTTTAAATCCTCATTCAATACGTATATTTAGCCTCCCATGGTTTTTCAAGTTTATGAACTGTTTATAAATAAAAAAAAATCAAATGTATAAATTTAAATTTTTAAAAAAGCATACAAATTAACATTGCAACGCGATCTATTAAAAATAAAAGGAATAGAGGGAGAAGGCAATTGGTGAAAGTAATTGAGATTGTTTAGGGTTAGAACTGATTTTTTTCCTTTAAATATTCTAATATAAGCATATATTTCCTTTTTTAAAAAAATCAGGAAATTACGGTCGTTGATTTGTTGGCAGTAATTATACTACATACATTTTTCGGTTATGCTTTTGTTGATTTGAAAATAATTTAAGATTTCTTTTAGGTGGAGATCAATACTATTATTTGTCATTGCATGATAGTATGACTATTAGTATAATTATATCATTTACATGGAAACGTATTTTTAAATTTCATTATAGAACAAATACAAAAACTGAAAATTGAAAGTTTCAAAAATTTTAAAAGAAAACCCCGTTAGAAGTATTAAACAAATCTCCGCTTCCGTTCTTGAAATATTATCAATCCTCTCAATTTGACATATGCAAATTCCAAACTCGGAAAATGATTATGTCAAATTTATATATGAGGGAAAAATCATTACAATCTCCTGTCTTAACTCTTAGCAGGGTTAGTTTGAGGCCAATCAATAGAGAAAGTCTAAACATCTACATAGACCAGTATGTTTACAGGTTCTTCCCTGTAGAAATAATCACAAAAAAACAGTACCAAGAGTTATAAATAGGCCAAAGAGTATACAATGCAATTGTGCAAAGATGAAAACCTCGCAATTAATCATAAGGGGCCAATGAAACCTACAAACATAACTATTATAAATGAAGTTCTAGAACATAATTCAATATAATTATTATACTTTCTTAATGTCGAATGATTGTCCAGTTTAAATTTTCAACTGTAGTACAAATTGTACTGAAAGTGAAAATCCAATTGAATAATAAATTTAAAATAGAGCGAGTACAACGTTTTTTTCCTACTTTTTACAGATTAATAAAGGTTTTCTACTTTTTTTTTTCTTTTTTGTATTCCCTCTTCTTAATAAATGTAGGTTTCTCTGGAATGGGAAAACTCTCTCAAATTCTTAAATACTTTTGAATAATTCTGTAGAAAGCTTTTATTTTTTGACAGTACCATATATACTATGGAAATGGAACTAACAAAAAAATTGACACGGGGTTTGATAGCTACTAAATTTCCTTATCCAATGGCTAAGCCATGACTAATAAGTTGTCTATGCCATGGCCTTCGCCATGGCTCATAATTTTATAATTTTATATTAACCAAAAAATATTGAAGTGTTTTAAGGAGTACATAGCAAATCATCTCTATGGATTGAAAAATGTTTTGTTAATTAACAAAAACATTTACATACATCCCTTTTACCCTATTAAAGTAGAAGACATGAAGCTTATGTGGCAATTACGTATGCATCTGTTTTGGCTCCAATGCACCATATTTCAGATTTCAGGAGTCTTTTTGCCACATGTACGTCTCTTTTAATTAGAAGCTATATAATTCTTTTTTTAAAAAAAAAAAACACATGTTTTAGATGTGACACTTATCCAATGAAAAAATTCTACAAATAAGAATCAGTTACATTTCAAACGAAAGGATATATTATTTCAAATTCAAATGTCCAATCGTACAGTTTTGCAGGCTTAATATAAACAAAAAATAAAAAACTTAAATCCAGTAATTAAGAATAATGCATTATAAACTAATTATTTATTATTCCCTTATAACATCAGATTTATAGGTATATTTTTTTAAGCCCCAAACCATAGCATAAATAATATATACGCCAAATTAATTCCTCAAAAAAATAGTAATTCAATTAGATTTTAATAAAATAGTAATTTAGAAGGGGCGCCCGGGCATCTGCCTGGGCCAAACATCTCTTATATATATATATATATAGAGAGAGAGAGAGAGAGAGAGAGAGAGAGAGAGAGAGAGAGAGAGAGAGAGGGAGAAATTCTAAAGTCCAGTTTTTTTTTTGTTTTTTTTAACTGAACCATCCCGTCAAGCACCTATACAGAGCCTTTTTCTTAGTGATTTACGTTAATATGTTTTAATTTACTGAGATAAAAAATAAATTAATTAATTGAATACGAATTCTGAATTGACTAATTTTTAATGGGGATTTACATCAACAATTAACATCGGTGCCGTCATCAATGAACATGTCCGGCCAATGTGAAGATTTGATTTCTAACTCACTTTCTATTTCTTCTTCCCATTTTTTGTTTGATTTTTATATCCCTTTATTTGACTGGAGAACAATATCACCTCCATGGAAGATTTCCCAGGAGAATATTCTTGCCACATCCCAACCACGGCCGCCGTCACTCAAAATTGACGCAACCTCCAGCATTTCTTTCTCTTTTCTCGTACTATTTTAGAACCTAGATTTTGATATACAGGATTCTATCAAATTGATGTCCTCAATGTTGTTTGTTTTTTTGTTTTTTTTTTGTTTTTTTATAATTTTTGACCTAAAACGCACCTGCTCTCTTAACTCTTTCTTTAAATTGTTTGAGGTTTATCACTATCAAATCTTTCATCGGAAGCATCTCGTCTTTAATCTGTTTAAACATTTCCTTGAAAACATGTTTAAATATTATATTAGAAAATTGGTAAGCATATTTACCTATGCAACCTTAGGTATGTTTACATTAAAAAAAATTTAATTGATAAATTTTCTACAAGGTGAAATTTCATAAACACATAAATCTCAGTAGCCAGCTTCAAAAGTAACTACAAACAATAAAATCCAAATTCAGTGATCTCACTTTCCACATTTTCTATAACCTAATAGAGTTTTATTAGTCATTTTCTATTTTAACTTGCAAATAATTGGTAAAATATTATTGAACTTTAATATTTGAGTATATACAAAATGAAATTAGCATTGAATGAACCGGAAAGCAGTTTGAATATATTATGTATGTGCATGTTCTCATTGATGTTGAAGACAAAATTACAATGCAACACTAAGCATGACTATTTTTTAAGTATGATGAGTATTCCTACTAACATATATCAAGAACTTCTGTTCATGTACATTTTAATTGAAATAATAAGGTACATTATATCTGATCTTGAAAGTTTCAAGAAATTGATCGACAAATAAAAAAGTAGATCATATGATGAAACGCGAGTAACTATATTGAGGAATTGATCAGTGATTAAAAATAAGGAAAATGATAAGTATAGTAACTAATGTATAATGAAATAAATTGTGACTGAGTTGGCCCCTTATCTTATTGCCATTTTGCCGTAGAAATTATATCTTTCCATTCAAAAATAATAATTTTATCCTTAATTAATATAGACACATCAGTTACTATGAATTTTGATTACTCTTTTTCACTGACTATATCATTGCTGTAAAAATAAATATTCATAAGAAACAAAATTGTGTTAACCATTATTCAGGATACCTTACTTTAACTCAACAAACAAAATATTATAAACATATAACTAGTGATGTTCAATTGTCATGAATTGAAGATTTTTATGTGTCTATATATTGAGGTAATATTATTGAAGAAATAAAGTAATATAATTAAAGAAATTTTAAGACAGACTGATGTAAAGTAAGTAAATAATTCAAAGTGATAGATTTATCGATTTTTTTATGGCTCTTGATAATGCCAGGGCAGTAATTAGCTGCCAGGGCAAAAAATGATTCAATGTCTTATATTGCCCTCATTAATTGAACTACTTTTTCTTTTTCTCTATCCTCTTAATAATTTTGGTCTCAAGTCATCCTCTTTCATTCTTTCTCAAATAAAAAAATTGGAGCAGAATAGACTTTCGGAGTATTTCAATCTCAGAAAGGTTTGGAGTTTGCCGAATCCATATAGTAATTTTTTTCCTCTTTGTTATTGGGATTTAGGAATTATTTGGACTTGTTCAAGCCTTCAAGGTATCAAGTTATAGCAAGTCAGTCAGATTCAACAACAAAGATAGGTTAATTTCTGGTCCTCCCGTTTCTCAATTAAAAACATCACCTCTAATTTTCTGCTGTCCTTTTTCGATCCATCTAAAGTTATTTCAATTATATGCTTAAGCATCTCTCAGACTTCCTAATTTTCATCAAAGTGGACGCAGTGATAATCAAAACAGAATTTGAACCACCTTTTTCCCATTATTTTCTTAAATTTTCGTCAATCTTTTTAAGAAGATTGATGCATGTGTCATAGTGATGATAGGATGATACTAATATGTTGGCATGGGAAATTGGTTGCAAGGAAAAAAATTGTTGTTGTTATCAATGGATCAAGGCAGAAGAAAGATGGAAACAGACGAACAGGGGAGGACGGGAGTGAAGGGGAGAGAAAAGGTATAAAACAAGCAGCCGAAATATTAAGGGCAATATATGTTTTTTTGCTCTGGATGCTAATAACTGCCCTAAAAGTATCATATAGCCTTTTTCTATCGAGGCCATGACATAAGCAATGTTTTACAAGGGTGAACATGATAATTTATTAGTTAACCATCTTTAGAATGAACGGTTGTAATCATATTTTTAGTATCCGACAGTCACTATAAATTTAAGGGCACCATACAATTAATTTAAATTTATAAACTGCTCTATAGTGGCTCTTGATAGTTTTATGCTCTGAGCAAAATTATTACTCCCTCCGTCCCATAATTATTGTCTACTAATTTGCCCAAAAAATTTTGTCCCAAAATTATTGTCCAATTTGACTTTTTATGGATCAAGTTACACATTTGTCCTTAGTAAAAAATACTATCCATAAAATCTTAGTGGTTAAACAATTACTTATGTAGGGGTATATCCGGTTGTTTAAGGTAAAATATAATTAAGTTTGATAAAAAATAAAATCTTTCATTTTAGTAAAACTGGACAATAATTATGGGACGGAGGGAGTACAAATTTTGACAATAGGAGAAAAAAAATCTTTAAATACCCTGGTAAATGTAGGGAACGAATTACTGCAGAGTTTAATCATTTTCGTAATGATGATCAAATGGTACTTTTTCAATTTCTTTAAAAATATTTTAAAAAGCTTTTTAGGATGCAACACCTTAAACACACTTAATGTGGATTTAATTTAACAGCCCCTAAGTAAAAATCCTCGCTGCAACGTGCACTATATATGTAGAGGATCGTGAAGGGCGTTTTTAGTAATTTAGAGTGGGTCAAAGTTTGTACCCAAAAAAAAAAAGAGTGGGTCAAAGTTCTCATTTGGTAGTTTATTTACCTATACTATAGAAGAAGTTGACTTGTGAAGGTTTGACTCCTTAATGCGCATTAATACGTGAAATTGAGCAAATGCAGATTTCGATAATCTATATTTAGATTTCGATAACTGCAGAACTCATTTATAAATAGCTCCAAGAAAGCGAGCTTTTTTCATGTCTCGGTTATTAGTACGTAAATTAGATCGCTTTCTTTCAAAATCATGGTGGTCAAATTGATGGCCGTTCTATCATTTCAAACTGCACTTTTCTTGATCATAGGCCATGTAGTTTTGGGGAACCAGCTGGAAGCTGCATCCGATGCAGTAATAAAAAGCATCCAGGTTCAAATAAGTTTTTTTTTTTTTTTTCCATTTAATTCTCAGTTGCAATTTGATGACAATAACAATCGGAAATTTCTATTTTATGCACGCTGAATTTCTCATGGAAATCGAAATAAACTATTTGTAGCTTTTTAATGAGAAGTCATATTTTATTCCTCATCCAATCTGTCTCTCTGATGGTGAAATGATTATTATTTTATTTTTAAATATAACTCATTCTGTTTGACAATAAGGATCATGTCAAAAGTTATATTAAGTTTGAATAAAAGTGAAGATGCGCCATTTTATTTTTCAATTATTTATTTATTTATTTATTTTTTGGTGTGTTTTTAACAGAGTGAAGATGGAGATGTAATTGATTGCGTTGACATCTACAAGCAACCAGCTCTTAATCATCCTGCACTAAGGAATCACAAAATCCAGGTTTGTAACAATTTTATGCAAAAATCAAGCTATAAAATGTGACATTTATTCAATATTGATTAATTTGAAAAAAAAATAAATTGCTTAAATTCTGTAAAAGTAGCTATAGATGAGATTCATGAAAACCTTGTCTTCATTTTCGGTCCAGATGGAGCCCAGCTACGTTCCACCACCAACTATAGATCAAACTACCAGAAAGATAAACAGAGCGAAAGGCAAGGAGAATAAAGAATCCAAATGGATAAAACAGATATGGCATAAGAATGGAAGCTGCCCTCAAGGTACTGTTCCTATACGAAGGAAAACGCAAACAAAGGATAAAGCATTACCGATCGTATCAAGAACAAACAAAAGCTCTTTCAATCTTAGCAAACATGAGTTGAGCCAAAGCAACAAGGGACTGCTCCGCCCAAACCACGCGGTAAGTTGGCTAGCTACCAATTCGAGTTGTCGTGTCATAATCCTTTATATATATGTTTCCTCTGGGTATACATATATATATGTATATATATTAATTTAAATTGAAATGCACCCAAAAAAAAAAAAAATTACGACAATTTTGTTAAAGTTGGCATGTTGAAAAATAATTTTTTTAAAAAAGTGACATGTTATGCCTGGTTATGTCTGTAAATTGAGCCACATTATTTTTAAAAAAATAATGCATTTTGTTTTTTCAATTTTACCCATTTTTTCGATACTTTTCTTGTATTTGAGACTAATCCGCTGTGTTCCTCTAAATCTTGAGACTAAACTGTACATGGAACCCTAATATATCAATTGAAACATTTCTGAACTCCGCGAGTTATTGATTTTAGTGTTCCAATTTTCCTCCCAAAAAAAACAAAACAAAACAAAATAAAACAAAAAAAACAGATGTCATTCTTGGGCGCGAAGGGGGAATATTTAGGAGCACGAGGAGACATTGCCGTCTATAACCCTTCCGTAGAAAGGTTCGATGAGTACACTCTCTCAGACATTTCTGTTGAAAATGGCGATGACCACAATTTTGAAGCAGTTAGATCGGGATGGATGGTAAGTGTATTTATTATAATTCCCTGCAGCTGATATATATACCTTCTCAATCTTTTCAATAATTGATGTGTGTTACAAAAAAACTTTCATGGTGTTAAACCAACACTCTTTTGGAACAATCGTTTTTTACAGGTGAATCCAACGTTTTATGGAGATAAGCAGACAAGACTTTTCACCTACTGGACTGTGAGTCTCCCCTTTTAAAATTCTTAAGACGTATTCCGTCTCACAGAAATAATTTATATTGTAAATTATTTTGTTGTAATGTGGACTTTTTTTATGAGGCGGGGGAATTTTACTTATCCCATGGTACGTCTCACTGGTAACATACAATGTTTTGACACCTACTTGATTGGGTGATTCCATTGCGGGAAAAGATCTTCCAATAATCATTTTTCTCTCTATATATGTACTCATATTCTGCTAAAGAAGGACAGATTTTTTACTTGACCCGCATAATTGTTACTAAAAGACGTACTATCTTATACATTTGGGAAAGTGATACGGGAAAGTGAAAATTGTAACCCTGAGATTTTGCATGGTGTTTGCGATTAAGTGATTGAAATCATATTTTGATTTTCAGGCTGATGGGTCGCAAAATACAGGATGCTTCGATTACGTTTGTCCAGGTTTTGTGCAAGTCAATAATGATATCGCACTTGGAGCTGCAATCGAACAAATATCTAAACCTTCTTATAATGAGCCTGCTCAAGTTATGAAAGTTCTTCTTTATAAGGTTAGAAATTCTCCCCTCCAAGATCCATAAAATTATATAGTCCACATTGCAAATTATGAATTGTACTGTAATATAAGTTATTTTTGTGAGAATAATGGAGTAACGTTTTGTATTCTTTTTACCTCTTAACGCTTATAAAACGAATAATGTTAATTTGCATGTAACAGAATGAATGAATAAATGAAACGATAAGATAGTACGGACGAATATCCCCCATTTGGACCTTCCTTCCAATAACATCAAACACAAAATGGATCAGTACTTTTTCTGTCCTGAAACTATTTTTTATTTTGAATTTTCAATTTAAATACAAAATGAACTTAAAAGTGGGTGAAAATAAAAAATTAGACCATAATTTTGAGACAGAGAATAATATTTTCGTCGGTTTCCCTTGCAGGATTTAGCTACGGACCATTGGTGGGTGAGCGTAGACGACAAGAATATAGGGTACTGGCCGAAGGAACTCTTCAGAAAATTATCTTATGAGGTTGAAAGGGTTCAATGGGGGGGAGATGTGTATAGCACCAGGCTGGAAACTCAGCCCCACACAGCCACCGCGATGGGAAGCGGGGCATACTCTTCTCCGACCGACTGGTTAACGGGTTCGATCCGGAGGATTAAGGTTCTGCTAAATACTACGGTGTGGGCATTTCCAAATTATGCCTATACTTATGCCGATCAGGTTAAATGTTACGATTTTTATATTCAACTCGCTGCTGATGACCCGATTTTCTATTATGGAGGACCCGGCAGCGGCGGCCAAGCTTCTAAGTGTCAATAATTTGGGTGGACTATTTTATCATTTGTTATTTGATTTGTACTTTTTTTTAATAGTGAATCATGTGATCTATTGAAAAAATATACAATTTCTATATTAGGAGAAAAATTTAGAAGTAGCCATATGCCAGAGTTTCTTTATTATTGATTACAAACACCTACAAACAGTGTTCTAACCGCGAGAGAGATCGAGTCAACTCGAAAACAACTATATGTATAACTTTCATTAAAAATTTTGGATGTCTTAAAGGTCTATATAACTAATAATCTACAACAAAACCATATTCATTACGTTACCATGTAAGCCTGATGTTCCTGATGTTCAGAATATGTAATACAAATTGAACTAAAAAACACACATAAAGTCACTATTGATTTCGAAGTATATATTATTTTCAAAATCTCGTAAGACCTTTTTAAGAAAACATTTTGCATTTCAAAATTCATAATTTACATTTTGCATTTCAAAATTCATAATTTTTATTTTTAATTAAAATATTACCTGAATCCAAAGCGAAATTAAAAATGAAACCGTGGTGCATACATTATTTATACGAGCATGAATATGCGTGCTCAAAAATCTACTCGCTCTATTTTTCCGACGGTTGTGGCACCACATTACTTATTACTCTTTCTTGTCTTTATTATGAAGAAGTATTTTGATTTGTTATAAATCTCATTTATTGACATTTTTAAGATCTTATTTTTAATTATAAGAACATATTAAAAAATTAGAATAAATCAAAATACCTTATAATAAAGATAAGAGGGAGTAATACGGGAAATTTTCCTTTTATTTTGTAGTTGGAATATGTATTATTATTACTACTACTACTACTAATTACTATCATTATCTTCATGTCATCTTACCATATTCAATATTCACGGCACCCTTAATTATTAGTCTTGACACAATTTCCGGAATTTAAACACCCAAGTCAGGAGAATATGAAAACATTTCTTTGTTCTTTTCTTTTTCCAAATACTTACTCTATGATATCGTAACAATATTATAAGGACAAGAACTACAGAGAAAAAAATCATGTGCCTATTGGAATCTAACATCTTATAATTTCTACTGGAAAAGTCAAGAGTTGCTTGTAATAGAAAAAAAATTAGAATTTAAAGAGCATAAATAAAAAAGAGAGAAGAACGAGAATAATTTTGAAAACTACATTGTAACTTACTTAATTTTCAAAGTCATGTGGTAACTGACTTAATTTTCAAAGTCATGTGGTAAAGCCATATTTATAGCCATAGGAACTAATACTATCCTGCTAGATAACAATGAATAGAATAAACCTATCAAGTATTCAACACTTATCCCTCTAGTCTTTCTCTATCCTATTTAGCACAAAATGGACTCTTCTTCTTGATAAAAACTCTTCCTTGATATTTATCTTTAACATCCTCCCTCAAACTGAGTCCGGGTTGGAAACTCAGTTTGTTTCTTGATCGATTCTGCTTCTTGGTTGATTCTGGTAACTGGAGTTTCATGATATGTGAATGGTAAGTTGTGAGTGACATAAACTGTGTTTCTGAGTGGTGTGCTCGAATTGTTGAGCTGTTAAAAATTGTTGAGAAACTAAATGTATCGATTCTCATTGCCTGTATAGCTAGATTTGTGCAAGATAAGTCCAACCTCTACTTTGAGATGTGGCCGAACGTTTGCCATAATGTGGATTTTTGTAGATTGACATAGAGATATATTTCTCTTTGTCAACTACTATTTTTTTTTTTTTTTTTTGGATCAATTGAAATTTGATCTGTGAAAAGGAAATTTTTTTGTGGGTTGAAAAACATGGTTTTCAAATGGATTGATGGTAGACTGGGTGGAGTATGTGGGTGGATGGATTGGACTTGGATTAATAATCGAGAATGAAAAAAAAAACTTACGATGAAATCACAAATGAAATGCGTTTTGTGTTGGGAGGAGAACATTGGAGTGATGAAATTGATGATTTGGAGTTTAAGTATTCAAAGACAGAGGACATAGATGTGAATATAGATGTGAATAGAAGACTATTGACTTTATCTACTGAAGACAAAAAACAAAACAAAACAAAAACAAAAACGGTGAAGGCATGGGGCGCCACGTAGTCACTGCCGGTGTTGTACATCGGTTCTCCGAACTCAATTATTCCGGCATAAAGAGAGTTGAAGTCGAGTCTGATAGAATATGTAATTAAGGAAACCCTAATTAGGGTTTCCGGAATAGTCGGCTAGGTTTTTATGTATCCTTGTATATATATATCTCAATGTACAACCGGTAATATAAACAGAAATATAATTCTTTCATGGTATCAGAGCCAGGTTTAAGAGATAAACACAAGTGATTAACGCTTTGACCCAGAATTCATTTGGTAATTGGGCTTGATGAAGAAGAGTACGGACCATGTTAAAAATAGTTTTATTCATTCGTTCAACCTTTCCATTTTGTTGGGGAGTGTATGGACAAGAGACTCGCATTGCGACCCCCTTTGATTTAAGAAAGGTTTGAAGAGATTGAGAACGAACATATTCAGCAGCACCATCGGATTGAAGTATTTTAATAGAAGGATGGAATTGAGTTTGAACAAGATTATAAAATTCAACAAACTTTTGAGGAACTTCAGATTTATTTTTGAGAGGATACACCCATAGGTAATGAGTGAAATCATCTAGAAATAGAACAAAATATTTAAAACCACTAAAGGAAAGACAAGGAGAAGTCCAGACATCAGTATGAATAATATCAAAAGGACTGTAAGTGACAGACGACGAAGACTGAAAAGGAAGCTTATGATGCTTTCCAATTTGACATGCTTGACACAGGTAAAGTTTATCGGACGAAACCACCGAACCAGGAAGAATCTGATGGGACATTAAACTGGACAAGACAGAAGAGTGTGGGTGACCAAGACGTTGATGCCACACTTGGGAAGACACTGGAGCAGCAAACACCGGACATGACAAGGAAGATGGTGCAAGAGACTGATGTAGCAAGGTAGAAGGAAAGGTATAAAGGGACCCAGTGCTATTGCAACGTAGACAAGGGATCCTCGTCCAGAGATCCTTCACAGAAAAACCAAAAGGATCAAATTCAACGGAACATTGATTTTCAGTAGCAAATTGACGAACAGAGATAAGATTTTTTGTAATAGAAGGAACACAATAAACGCGAGGAAATTTAAACGAAGAACAACAAAGAGTGCCAACAGATTTAATGGGCAACATATTACCATTACCAATCACAACCCTAGTAGATCCATTATAAGGCGTTGAATTGGAGAGAATACCTTGAGTGCGAGTCATAGTGTTACCACAAGCGGTATCCATATACCAGGATGAATCCACGGATGGAGGAGTAGGAGGTCGAGTATATTGATCGACAAAGTAAGCGGGTTGCCAAAATTGGAAGCATTCTCTAGCAGAGTGATTTGCTTGATTGTATAATTGACAACGAATAGCAAGTTGTCCTGGCTGAAAAGAGGGAGCTGGACCAAGAAGTAAAGGAGCACGGTTTCTGGGAGAAAACAGAGGAGGTTGAAAATTAGAGTAAGCAGGATAAAAAAGAATTATACTGACCAGATTGATTTCGGCCACGTCCGCGACCGCCACGCCCCCGAAAATTCTGGAACCTGCCTCGACGACGACCACGATTGTTGGTGAAAGGTTGAGAGGTGGCTGAAGTAGGAAGGGATTCAGTTGAAGAAGCCGCAACTAATGCCGGAGTTGCCGCAGGGGGAGTAGCAGGGATGGTGTAGGAAAAGGAAACGAAGTTTCATAAAAAATGACATGACGAGAAATGTAGACTTTTCGAGAGACTGGATCAAAATAACGATAACCCTTATATGATTCTGGATAACCAAGAAACACACAAGGAACTGAATGAGGACTAAGTTTATGAGATGCTAAATGAGAAAGATTTGGAAAACAAGAGCAACCAAAAACCCTAAGTACCCCATAATTAGGTGGATGGCCAAAGAGAAGTGAGAAAGGGACAGCTCCGAACTTAGATGTAGTAGGCAGCCGGTGCTCAAATCCGATGGATCCCTTGATTGTTGTAAAGCACGTTTGGTTGCTCAGGGTTTTAATCAAAAACCTGGGCTTGATTATGATCAAACGTTCTGTCCTGTGTTAAACCAGTGACAATTCAGACTGTCTTAAGTATTGCTGCATCTCGTAAGTGGCCCGTCCATCAGTTGGATGTTAAAAATGCATTTTTGCATGGCCATTTAAATGAAGTTATCTATATGAAACAGCCTACTGGCTTTGTTCATCCAGACCATCCTCACTATGTCTGTCGCCTGAACAAAGCTCTTTATGGCTTAAAGCAGGCCCCCCGAGCTTGGTTTCACCGCTTTACTACTTTCCTGCTTACACAGGGTTTTAAAGGTAGTCGCTCGGATTCTTCTATGTTTGTTTACACTGCTGGCACTGACATGGCTGTTCTCCTCCTCTATGTTGATGATATTCTCTTAACAGCCTCTAGTGATCGTCTTCTCACCAGACTTATTTAGTCTCTGAAAGGTGCTTTTGCCATGACTGATCTTGGTCCTATCAGTTACTTCTTGGGTGTCTCGGTTTCTCCCCAGTCAAATGGTTGGTTTTTGCATCAACGCAAGTATGCTGAGGAATTACTTTCTTGCAGTCATCTCACTGAAGCTAATCCTGTTGCTACTCCACTTGCTCCGGCTTTTCAGTTCTCTGTTGATGAGTCACCACCATTTCATAATCCGACTCTCTACAGAAGTTTGGAGGGCACACCCTCCAATACCTTATTTTCACCAGACCGGACATTCAGTATGCTGTCAATCTTGTCTGTCAGCATATGCATGATCCTCGGGAGCAACATTATCAGGCTGTTAAGCGCATTCTACGGTATATTAAGGGTACCCTTCACTATGGTATTCATATCCGTGCTGGTTCTCTTTATCGTCTTGTGGCTTATTCGGATGCTGATTGGGCTGGGTGTCCGGCAACTAGACGTTCTACCACTGGGTTCTGTGTCTTTTTAGGTTCATCATTGGTCTCGTGATCCTCCAAAAAGCAATCTACTGTTTCACGATCTTCTGCTGAATCTGAGTATCGCGCCGTTACTACTACCTTATCTGAAGTTG